CTGTTACCTTGAGTCTGCCAGTCGTAATTTATCCTGTTTGCGGAGGTCGTCTCAGCTCTTGGTTCTGCCTCCTAAATTACAGTCGTCGATATTATTGGTTCCTGGTCTCACAGGCCTTCTCATACCTACTCTTGAAACTGTGTACTGAGTTTGTCTCTACTACCTCAGCTTCCTTATTCCGTTTATTTACCACCATGCGACTGAAAAAGCTTTTCTTTATGCCAATAGGGCTCTTCGACGTCTTTACCTGCCATCTGAAGCCTCACCTCTATGCCTCTTGTTTCAAATAAGTTAAGTCCCTACATGGTCTGTCAAAGCCCATGAGAAACATGTGTGTCGTAATCATGTCTTCCCTAATTCTTCTATAGTCGTCAGGTTCAGGTCCCTTAGTCTTTCTTCATAACAGCTCTGGGACTAGTCTTGTTGCAAACTTCTGGACCTTTTTTTATTTTTCATACACGCTTCATCAAGTGGGGGTTCCATGCTGGTGTTGCATACTCCAGGATGGGCCTAACATATATAACATATGTCATGAAGAGAGTCCTGAATCTTTATTGAGTTTTCTGAAAGCAGTTCTTAGATTAGTAACCCTCGCACATGCTGCAGATATTATGCAATTTATTTGTACCCCGTATCACTGTCTGTTTTTCTAATCTATGGGATGCAGTGTCAAATGTTTGAATACAATCCAACAATATGCAGTCGACCCATTGTTGTTTTGCTTTATTTCCATTATGCTTTTATGGAACTCCAGCAGGTTAGTGAGGTGAGACTTACTTTCTTGTAATCTGTGCTGGTTTTCTTAAAAAAATCCCATCTTTCTAAGTGTTCAACCAACCTTTTCCAGATTATCCTTTCTAATACTTTGGACAATAACATATCAGTGATACAGGACTGTAATTCAGCGCTCGTCTGTCCCCTACTGTATACTGGGATCACGTTTGCAGTTTTCTAGCTGTTCGGTAAGTTTCCCGTCTCTTGGAACATGCTGCAAATCATTACTATAGGTTCTTACAGTTCTTTCACTCTTTTCATTATCCATAATGATAATGTCATCAGACCCAAAAAATTTTGATGTGTCTAACTCATTCAGTATTTCATTACATCATCCTTTACTACAGAATTCTATCTAACATATGCTGATTAGCCCTTGCGACCCTGCATTCTGTTTCCTCAGTGAATACTTCCTTAAATACTGTAATCTTAATTCCTTCCAAACATGTCTATCGTTTTCTGTTCCCCCCCCCCCCACCCAACCCTTTCCTCTCTCTCTCCATCGACGCTGATTTGGCACCAACTTGGCTGCTAAGTCATCCTCAAACTGACGTTCTGCTTCTCTTCTCATCCTTGCATAGTCATTCCTCACTGTTCTGCTGGCCTCCCTACTCTCTGTCGTCTGTAATTTTTCCATGCACTTTTGCACCTTCCTTTGGCCTCTCTGCATCTCTGATTAAACCCAGGGCTCTCTCTGTTTCTTGACTTCTCACACTTCAGGCACTTTCTGGCGAGACCCTCCATCTCGTGGGTTATAATAATGTCAGTAGAATTACTAACAATATGTTACGTAAAAGAACACATGTGCAGCTAATGAGACATTGTACTGCAACAATGTTATGCTCTCCAGGAGCTTTGTTAAGTCAAGATGTCTCATTAGTTGCACGTGGTGCTTTTACTTAACATCTCGTGGTTTGTCTGCTGAATTTGCTTATAAATTTCTAATCCCTGCATAGTCCCCTCCTCTGTAATCTGGTTTATTATTGGTACCTCCTGTGTGCTCAGCCAATATGTGGTTACAGGGGAGGTCGATTCACAGTTCCTAGCCCTGCCTCTTCGCTGGTCGCTACTAGGTCCACTCCTGGCTTTACAAGCCCTGTCGTACCTCTTCTTAAAGCTATGTATGGATCCCACCTCTACAACTTTACTCTTCAGATTGTTTCACTTCCTGACAATTCTAAGGCTGAAGAAATACTTCTAAATATCTCTATGACTCATCTGAGTTTTCAACTTCCAGTTGTACCTTCTTGTTCCTAGTTCCCATCTCTGAAACATTCTGGCCCTGTCCACCTTGTCAATTCTTCTCAGTATTTTATACGTCGTTACATAACCTTCATATTCCTCCTGTTCTTCAGTGTCGTCAGATTGAGTTCCCTTAACCTCTCTTCATAGGGCATATCTCTTAGCTCCGGGACTAGTCTTATTGCAAATCTCTGTACTTTCTCCAATTTCTTGAAGTGCTTGGCTCCTTATTTAGATGTCGAAACACTCTTCTTAGATTTGCTAGATACTCATTTGCTGCAGCAGCTATTTAGCAAATGTGCGCCTCAGGGGATATGCTCGGTATGATACTCACTCCAAGGTCTTCCTTGAGTGAGGTTTGGAGATTGTACCCCGTCTGCAGTCCTTGTCCTTCCCCAAGCTTCACGACTTTGTACTTAGTGGGGTTAACTCCATAAGCCTTTTGTCAAACCAGGCGTCTGTCGAGATTCCTTGGTAGCCTTGCCTGATCTTCGTCTGCTTGTAGTCGTCTCATTAGTCTCGCGTCGTCTGCGAACGGGGATACCTCTGACTATCCCCTCTGTCATGTCATTTACGTATACGAGAAACAGCACCAGCCCTAAGACTGATCCTAGTGGAACCCACACTCGTCACTTGCACCCATTCCGACAACTCGTCACAGACCATCACCCGTTGTATCCGTCCTTGGGTATTCCTTGATCCATTGAAGCATCCTGTTATTTCTGTCTGCTCTTCTAGTTTTATAATAGTCTCTGTCGAAAGCCTTTGTAGAGTCCAAGAAAATTACTTTACCCGTATCTCTCTATCCTATGTGTGTATATGTGTGTGTACTCACCTAATTGTGGTTGCAGGGGTCGAGACTCAGCTTCTGGCCCCGCCTCTTCATTGAGTGCTACTGTATGTGTGTGTGTGTGTGTGTGTGTGTGTGTGTGTGTGTGTGTGTGTGTGTGTGTGTGTGTGTGTGTGTGTATGTGTGTGTGTGTGTGTGTGTGTGTGTGTGTGTAATTTGACTTCCGCCTGGTGTCTTACAGCTGAGTTACTTATAATTCACAAGTCACGTGCTGCGTTACTTACTTCTTTAAGTGTGTCTTTCCCTTTGGCTAGTGAATGAGAGAGGAAGAGTGACTGGCAGAATCAACATAGTCATATATTACCACCATACAATCACCTGCATCAGCACAGTTTTCCAAGGACTTAACATAATCTGCTCCAACTCGCATATTTACTCCAACAAAACAGCATAAACTCACGTCATTTCTCCAGTGTTCAATTAACTTGTCTGACAAAACGCAATTCAAACAGTATAACAAAAATATAAAGAATAATGACTGTAGAAATAATGACTTTGTTAATTGAACCTAACTATTGTTTGGACATAAAAGGCGCTAACTGACGTTATTGTTGGCCTGATGAACCCTCACTTGTGTTACCTGTGTGCTATGTAGCCTCAATATGTCAGGTGAAAATTTAATGGGAGTCTTTCAAAGAACAAGCATATACATTAAAAATGTATACTGATGTAATATGTTCACTTCACTCTACCGTAGTGGCCCTTACAGATAAACGCCGTAATGCCCGTGAAGGTTTCTTGATCCAAAGAAATGGAGCTACCCTCCCGTGTTTCAAACCCCCGATTATCTCCTACCTTATAGCTGTCGTATGACCCCTAAAGGTTTATCGCCTGCATATGAATTTAATTAGCCATAATGATGGTCGGACTGGACACTAGGGTCAAGGTCATGTTTACGTTGCTCCTCACTTGATCTGTGTCAGAGCCGTGCCTCGCCTGATTTATATCAGAGCCGTGCCTCGCCTGATTTATATCAGAGCCGTGCCTCGCCTGATTTATGCCAGAGCCGTGCCTCGCCTGATTTATGTCAGAGCCGTGCCTCGCCTGATTTATACCAGAGCCGTGCCTCGCCTGATTTATATCAGAGCCGTGCCTCGCCTGATTTATGTCAGAGCCGTGCCTCGCCTGATTTATATCAGAGCCGTGCCTCGTTTGATATGTTAGAGCCGTGCGTCGTTTGATGTGTCGAAGAAGTGCCTCCTTCGATGTGTCAGCGTGTGACTCGCTTGATGTGTTCAGACATGTCTCCACAGTGTTCTAACATGTAGACTCTGAGTGGCTATTAAGTGTAACTAACATTACAAATATAGTAATTATATTATAAACTTCAAAAAACATTGACTTTACATACACAGCATTTTCCTCTCTGTATTATATCACGTGGATGCTCTAAATCGTAAGGGGTCATCCAGTGCCTGGATATATTGAAATAATCAGGTTTAACACGAGAAAAGGAAAGATACCTCCAGTTCCTTAGAACAAAAGCCCTTTATCACCATCATGACACCCCGTAGAATCTATGGTTAAATATTTAACAGGAATGCATTAGGTATAGTATTACTCTAAATGTTACCTGCGGCAGAATTCTGGATTACTTGAAGATTTGTTAATCTTAAAAAATATATTTGATGCTTCAATGTTATTTTCTATAGCGCGATAAAGACGTACTGTTATGCGCAAATTAGTTGTAAAAACTAACACTTGATGCGCCAGTGCTAGGTTTATCCTAGTTGCAGGAAGTCTGTACTACGCTTGGAAGCCTTCTCTTGGTTATAACTAGGACCAAATTTTTTAAAGGGGGACCGGTAAGCCAGCGGAAGGCCTCAGTCAGATGACCAAAAGCTCCCATGGCGGGTCATTATCTGACTAAGACCCGCGTCAGGAAACACTTCTGTTTCCTAACCTTCTCTTGCTGATACGGACGATGGAAATGAAAGTACACGCATCTTACTATTTATTACTCAGCTACCTAAGGAGACCAAATGATGATTCCTACTCTTATCGATTATAGATTTAGGATCTTATTTAATAAGCAGATTTGCCTGCTCTAGAGTTAAGGAATTTGATTCATGATGAAAGAATGAAGTCACCTAGTGTTTACAAGCTGAGATTGTTGATGAAATAATGAACTAACCTGTTCAAGGGGAACTGGCTTGGACTCGGGAAAGGTGATCTTCTTGTAGTCAGGGAGCCGGGAGAGACCTGGCCAGGTAGCTTCACTAGGTGTTCCCAAGATCTGCAGCACCACACACAGCTGGTCTATGTCGCTCTCTCCCTGCAACCACAACCACCACTGTATGACATAACTTAATGCATTAAACAGTTCTCACCTACCAATACACTGCCTAATCCTCCTGCCCCTTCAACTTGCTTCCCGACCACCTGCACCAGCTTTCCCCCCACTCACAATTCTACATCACCCCCTACACCACCTACCTGCCCCACCACCACCAACGCACCAGCCTTCATCCACCCTACCCACACTAATCTTACACACCTCACCGCTTCCCACCTACACTACCAACAATTAGGATGAACACATAAGCAAACACTAGGATATATTAATTAGAAAAACATTTAGGTCTTGGGACCTTGATCACTTCTAACATATAAAGTTCAGGAATAACAGTATGTTAATGACCAAGATCCCAGGACTGACATGTTACACAAATAAGGCGCATATAGAAGAGAGGAGCTTACGACGACGTTTCGGTCCGACTTGGACGAAATGTCGTCGTAAGCTTCTCTCTTTTATGTGCTGTTATTTGTGTATCGTTCCAGTCACGGTATTGTGCCTTTTTTCGTTATTTACTGACATGTTATCTAATAAATATGTCATAGTGATTGATCAAGCGTCTTTTATAAGCTACTTGTCGGTATCAATTATCAAGGTTGATACTCCTAGATACACAACATATTGAGCGGGAGAATGATAAACTGTTGCTGGCATTATCACTTTCACTCTATGTAGCTAAGTTTACTGATGATAAAATAAATGAGGCTTGGTCATGGACCGGGCTGCAGGGGCGATGACCTCCGGAACACCATCCAGGTATACTCCACCAGAAAGAAAAGTACACACACACACACACACACACACACACACACACACACACACACACACACACACACACACACACACACACACACACACACACGCACACACACACACACACACACACACACCACACACCACACACCACACACACCACACACATACACACACACCACACACATACACACACACACCACACACATACACACACACCACACACATACACACACACACACACACACACACACACACACACACACACACACACACACACACACACACACACACACACATATAACCAAGGAGGAGGTGAAGAAGCTGCTATGCGAACTTGACACCTCAAAGGCGGTGGGACCAGACAACATCTCTCCATGGGTCCTTAAAGAGGGAGCAGAGATATTGTGTGAGCCATTAACAAAGATCTTCAACACATCATTTGAAACTGGGCAACTCCCTGAGGTATGGAAAATGGCAAATGTAGTCCCAATTTTTAAAAAGGGAGACAGACATGAGGCACTAAACTACAGACCTGTATCACTAACGTGTATAGTATGTAAGGTCATGGAGATCATCAGGAGGAGAATGGTGGAGCACCTGGAAAGAAACAAGTGTATAATTGACAACCAGCACGGTTTCAGGGAAGGAAAATCCTGTGTCACAAACCTACTAGAGTTTTATGACAAGGTGACAGAAGTAAGACAAGAGAGAGAGGGGTGGATCGACTGCGTATTTTTGGACTGCAAGAAGGCCTTCGACACAGTTCCTCACAAGAGGTTACTGCAAAAGCTAGAGGACCAGGCACACATAACAGGAAAGGCACTGCAATGGATCAGAGAATATCTGACAGGGAGGCAACAACGAGTCATGGTACGCGACGAGGTGTCAGAGTGGGCGCCTGTGACAAGCGGGGTTCCACAGGGGTCAGTCCTAGGACCTGTGCTGTTCTTGGTATACGTGAACGACATAACGGAAGGGATAGACTCAGAAGTGTCCTTGTTTGCAGACGATGTGAAGTTAATGAGAAGAATCGAATCGGACGAGGATCAGGCAGGACTACAAAGAGACCTGGACAGGCTACAAGCCTGGTCCAGCAACTGGCTCCTTGAATTTAACCCTACCAAATGCAAAGTCATGAAGATTGGGGAAGGGCAAAGAAGACCGCAGACACAATATAGTTTAGATGGCCAAAGACTGCAAACCTCACTCAAGGAAAAAGATCTGGGGGTGAGTATAACACCGAGCATATCTCCTGAGGCGCACATCAATCAGATAACTGCTGCAGCATACGGGCGCCTGGCAAACCTACGGATAGCGTTCCGATACCTCAGTAAGGATTCGTTTAAGACTCTGTACACCATCTACGTCAGGCCCATACTGGAGTATGCAGCACCAGTTTGGAATCCACACCTAGTCAAGCACGTCAAGAAATTAGAGAAAGTGCAAAGGTTTGCAACAAGACTAGTCCCAGAGCTACGGGGATTGTCCTATGAAGAAAGGTTGAGGGAAATCGGCCTGACGACACTGGAGGCCAGGAGGGTCAGGGGAGACATGATAACGACATATAAAATACTGCGCGGAATAGACGAGGTGGACAAAGACGGGATGTTCCAGAGATGGGACACAGACACAAGAGGTCACAATTGGAAGTTGAAGACTCAGATGAATCAAAGGGATGTTAGGAAGTATTTCTTCAGTCATAGAGTAGTCAGGCCATGGAATAGCCTAGAAAGTGATGTGGTGGAGGCAGGAACCATACATAGTTTTAAGGCGAGGTATGATAGAGCTCATGGGGCAGGGAGAGAGAGGACCTAGTAGCAATCAGCGAAGAGGCGGGGCCAGGAGCTGTGACTCGACCCCTGCAACCACAAAGAGGTGAGTACACACACATCAACCACATAACTGCTGCAGCATATGGGCGCCTGGCAGACCTGAGAAAAGCGTTCCGATACTTTAGTAAGGAATCGTTCAAGACACTGTACACCGTGTACGTCAGGCCCATACTGGAGTATGCAGCACCTGTTTGGAACCCACACTTGATCAAGCACGTCTAGAAATTAGAGAAAGTGCAAAGGTTTGCGACAAGGTTAGTTCCAGAGCTAAGGGGAATGTCCTACGAAGAAAGGTTAAGGGAAATCGGCCTGACAACACTGGAGGACAGGAGGGTTAAAGGAGACATGATAACGACATACAAAATACTGCGTGGAATAGACAAGGTGGACAGCGACAGGATGTTCCAGAGAGGGGACACAGAAACAAGGAGTCACAATTGGAAATTGAACACCCAGATGATTCAAAGGGATGTTAGGAAGTACTTCTTCAGTCATAAAGTAGTCAGGAAGTGGAACAGCCTAGCAAGTGAGGTAGTGGAGGCAGGAGCCATACATAGCTTTAAGACGAGGTATGACAAAGCTCAAGGAGAAGAGAGAGAGAGAGGTCATAGTAGCGATCAGTGAAGAGACGAGGCCAAGAGCTGAGTCTCGACCCCTGCAACCACAATTAGGTGAGTATACACACACACACGCACACACACACAACACACACACACACACACACACACACACACACACACACACACACACAGATGCAATCTTCCCACCAGAATACCAGATCATGAGGAAAGATAGAAGGGGCAGAGGGGGAGGAGGGGTTGCTCTGCTCGTAAAAAACAGATGGAAATTCGAGAAAATGCGAGGCATAGACGAGACGGAAGAAAGAGACTACATAGTAGGTACACTTCAGTCTGGGGAGCACAAGGTGGTCATTGCAGTGATGTATAATCCACCACAGAACTGCAGGAGCCCAAGAGAGGAATATGAAGAGAGCAACAGAGCAATGGTGGACACACTTGCTGAGGTGGCAAGAAGAGCTCACTCCAGCAGAGCAAAGTTGCTGGTTATGGGGGATTTCAACCACAGGGAGATTGACTGGGAAAACCTGGAGCCACATGGTGGTCCCGAAACATGGAGAGCCAAGATGGACGTGGTGCTGGAAATCCTCATGCACCAACATGTTAAGGACACTACCAGAGTGAGAGGGGAGGATGACCCAGAAAGACTGGACCTTGTGTTCACCCTGGGCAGTTCAGACATTGAGGACATCACTATGAGAGTCCCCTAGGAGCTAGCGACCACGTGGTTCTGTGCTTTGAATACATAGTAGAGCTGCAAGTGGAGAGAATAACAGGAGTTTAATGGGAAAAGCCTGACTATAAAAGAGGGGACTACATAGGGTTGAGGAACTTCCTGCAGGAGGTTCCGTGGGACAGAGAACTGGCAGGAAAGCCAGTAAACGAAATGATGGAATATGTAACAACAAAATGCAAGGAGGCAGTGGAAAGGTTTATTCCCAAGAGCAACAGAAACAATGGGAAGACCAGAACGAGCCCCTGGTTTAACCGACGGTGTAAGGAGGCAAAAACAAAGTGCAATATAGAATGGAAAAATTACAGAAGGCAGAGAACACATGAAAATAGAGAGATCAGTCGCAGAGCCAGGAACGAGTATGCACAGGTAAGGAAGGAAGCCCAGCGACAGTATGAAAATGACATAGCATCGAAAATCAAGACTGACCCGAAACTGTTGTATAGCCACATCAAGAGGAAGACAACAGTCAAAGACCAGGTGATCAGACTGAGGACAGAAGGTGGAGAACTCACAAGAAATGACCAGGAGGTATGTGAGGAGCTAAACAGGAGATTTAAGGAAGTTTTTACAGTAGAGGCAGGAATGGCTGTGGGAAGACAGCACAGAAGGGAACATCAAGAGGGAATATACCAACAAGTGTTGGATGACATACAAACAACCAAGGAGGAGGTGCAGAAGCTGCTAAGTGACCTTGATACCTCAAAGGCGATGAGACCGGACAACATCTCCCCATGGGTCCTTAGAGAAGGAGCAGAGATGCTGTGCATGCCCCTAACCACAATCTTCAACACATCCCTTGAAACTGGGCAACTACCTGAGAAATGGAAAACAGCAAATGTAGTTCCCATATTTAAGAAAGGAAACAGAAATGAGGCACTAAACTACAGACCTGTGTCTCTGACATGTATTGTGTGCAGAGTCATGGAGAAGATTATCAGGAGAGTGGTGGAACACCTGGAACGGAACAAGATTATAAATGAAAACCAGCATGGGTTTATGGAAGGCAAATCCTGTGTCACAAACCTCCTGGAGTTTTATGACAAGGTAACAAAAGTAAGACACGAGAGAGAGGGGTGG